AAGTTCCTGACAGATGACTGAGAAAATAAATCTCATGCCCATCTGCTTGTAGATGGTGTTTTGATGGTGGAGCAAGATGGAGGTTAGATGTTGGCTATAGATTCAGAGCTCCGACTATTGCACAGAAAGTGCAGCTAATTTTATGCTAACTGGCTTCCCTACAGAAGGATGAGAAAAGTGGTAGCTTTAGGAATTAAGCTGCTGTGTGGAGTTTTCTAAAGTTGTTTACATTCCTTGTGATACACCAAAGCTCACTGTATGACTCCATGGTCTGATTTTCCTTTCTCATTTTTTACACCTATGTCTAGTTGCTTGCAGCCTTCTGCTGGTGCATTATTACATTTTTTGATTCATTACTCTCACCAGTAGACTAATGGATTGGAGTGAAACCACTGACAAAACTTTGTATCACCTCACCCACATGTATTTGTACAAGAGCAAAAACATGGACCCACTCAAAAAAACTAGCTCCATGCTCATACTAGTGGTCAAAAACATGCCTTTTAATACCTTTGATATAGAAACCTAATCACACCAGAAACCGTCTCATGAAGATAGTAATGAAAACTGTGACTTAATGACTATTCCAGAGGCTAGTTGAACTACTGTAGCTGACACACTAACTTACATTCCAGTTCTAGTCACAGCATCCCTGCAAGATAGCTGGCAGCTAACTGCTAGTTCACAAGCTAACTAACTCAGTTGCTAGTCATTAAATGTCAACAAATGATACAGTTTGGTGCTGATGAACAGAAGGAATTTACTTGTCAAAGTTCACCAAATTTTAGCTAAATGCAAAAGATTTGACCTGATTTATTTCACCCCTGTGAGAAGATCTGAGAGTGCTGTGATTCCACAGAAATAAACCGATTTGTCTCAAAATCTCACAGTTTTAAATGCTACTGTGATGAGGCCATTAAGCTGTATGCCCATTGGACACACGCATTATGTTCTGGTCACAATAACAGACACTGTATCTAGTGCTCATTCACTTGGAGCCAGCTCTTTTCTCCTCTACACTTTCTTTGCTTAGCTGGTCTGTTTGATCTTTTGTGGCCAAAAAAAAAGTTGGGAGTTTGTAGTGGGAACATTAAGCAGGTTAGTGCGAGTGATGATTGAAGAAGCAGTGTAGTCTGGGAATATAACTCAAAACTAATCTTATCAATTTGATAGGCCATATTACATTGAATGCTAATTAGCATCACTTATTAGCTATAAAGCATGCCTGCCAATTAGCACTTATAGTTTGAATACAAAGTCATGCAGAAAAACTGCATGAGCTCCAGAGAAGCCCAAAGTTGTAAAATGCTGCCAAATGACACATACTCAAAATGACACATTGCATTTTTGTTACTGCACAATTCAAGTCATTTTTATTGGGTGATTGCTATTTTGTCTACCCACTGCAGAAGATAAAGAGGTAAATGAACAGGTAGGGGAGGAGTGGTGGTAGTCACCTCTGTTGTAGGTATGACCTTGGTCCATGACTGACACTGTCAGATGCAAAAAACAACATAACACAGTGGCCTTTAGTACTGGGTTGTGAGTGTGTCTATTGTTCTAAATGTAGTCTTATAGGACAGTAAGAGATTTAAGCTAGAGGACCTGTGAGCTCTCTTCAGTGTTTCTGTAATTATAGCCATGTAAAATTCTTGATATTTAAGTGGAGGTTTCTAATTATTTCAGTCCTGATTAACAGGGCTGCTGTTGTGACCCCACTAATTTTGTTATAGCTCACCTATCCCTCCCAGCATTTCCTTCTACTTCCCTGTAGATATTTTGGAACTCGTATGTAAAAATGTGAACAAGACGCTTATCATTTTATCCAAGATAAATCAATGATTGGCCAACAATAAATATGCAGGTTTTCATACCAACCAAAGCCTCAAGTCACTGATCTGAAGGGAGGTGAATTGAACTACTGAGGGGATCAGTTGGAATCAAAACATGCAGACTGCTGGCTCTCAGTGGAACATGGCTCGCTATCACAGCCTTTATAAAGACTATACTGAAAACTAGAGCTAGTGGAACAGAAGCTAACCTGGAAGTGGGTTGGACTGACTAACCACTGAATGTGAGAATGTCTGATAAAAGAAATATTTGAAAACATAAGTCTTGACATGTTGGGATCAAATCTATGTTCAGTTCCCAGAATTGTTCACTTACTGAGCGGTACAGTATGTAACACAAAGTGAGAGTGCCTTTGACTTAAGTATAAAACTGATATCTCTTTCAGCAGAGATACTGCAATGACAAGACTGAGATAAGAGAGTGGAAGAGTGAGAGGAGAGACACAAAGGGGATGAGACATGGTACCTTCACTTTCGATTGTGTCGACTGCATCATTAACCAGTCGAATGACCGTCACTATGGAGGCTTGTGGAAGGAAAAAAGGAGGAGATAAGGTTTGAAATACAATCATTCAAAGTGAAAAATACTCATGGTGTTGGTCAGGGGTGTCTCCTCATGCCTGTGGCATTGCTCATGACTGGTACTACAGTCAGTCCTGCATGTTGGGAGGATTACTTGGTCTCCCTCTGACACAGTCAGACTCCTTTCTGATTCTGATGTCTGGGGCAATTTGTACACAGTGTTCATCATATATATGGAGATAGTTTACACAAATAAAGAAGGAAGGAAAGAATGTAAAAAGAAAACAATATAAAAGCAAAAAGCCAACACTAGTACATTTCTTCTTGTTTTTGTCATTTAGTGCACACAATTTCTCGTCTAGTAACAGACAGCAGCCAAACTTTAGCAAGCACAGGAATGACAGTGGCAAAATTCACATATTTACTCTACTGATGATTGGGGAAAACAAAGCTGACATGTTGAATTATGATCATTCTGAAAAAGAAAAAAAATCAATTTTGTGGACTGCAAATAATGTTTTGTGAGAACAGCATGATGCAATGAAAATGAAACACAAAACCAAATACACAGCTCCAGCACAATGGCCACAACCAGCAACCACTCAAAACTCCTTAGGCTCAAAATGACTTTTGAGGAACCTGAACTATTCTTGGTGGGGGGTGGCTTACCATTGTCATCACAGGAGTCAGACTGAAAGGAGCTCAGTGACTGGACCTCTGAGTTGCTGCCTTTGTTGCTCCCTGAGAAACAGGTGACTTCTTCTCCCATGTCAACCATCTTACCTATGGGCAGAGGTCAGCTCGTCAGGAGGGCCAGATTCCAGAACAGACACAGGTGTACAAAAATATTTTTTGAAGCGTACTGCTCATGATACAACCCCAGATCAGAAAAAGTTGG